TCAAAATAAAAAAACTTCTGCAAAGCAAATAATCAACAAAACTAAAAGACAACCTACTAAATAGAAGATATTTGCAAATGACATATCTGATAAAGGGTTAGTATCCAAAATACATAAAGAACTGATACAACTCAACACCTAAAAAAAAAAAAAATCCAATTAAAAATTGGGCAGAAGACACGAACAGACATTTCTCCAAAGAAGACATACAGTTGGCCAACAGACACATGAAAAGATGTTCAACAACACTGATCATCAGGGAAATGAAAATCAAAATCACAATGTGATATTACCTCACACCTGTCAGAATGTAAAATCAAAAACACAAGAAACAACTGTTAGCAAGGATGTGGAGACAAAGGAACCCTCCTGCCCTGTTGGAATGCATACTGATGCAGCCACTGTGGAAAACAGTATGAAGGTACCTCAAAAAATTAGAAATAGGATTATCATTATGATCCAGTAATTCCAATACTGGCTATTTATACAAAGAATATGAAAACACTAATCTGAAAAGATATAGGCATCCCTATGGTTCCTGCAGCATTATTTACCAACAGCCAAGATATGGAAGCCACCTAAGTGTCGACAGATAATGAATGGATGAAGACGTGCTGTATATATACAATGGAATTTTACTCAGCCATCAAAAAGAATGAAATCTTACCATTTGCAACATGGATAGATCTAGAGGGTATAATACTAAGTGAAATGAGTCAGTCAGAGAAAGACAAATACCATATGATTTCACTCATATGTGGAATTTAAGAAACAAAACAAAGAAAAAAAGAGACAAATAAAATAACAGACTCTTAAATATAGAGAACAAACTGATGGTTACCAGAGGGGAGGTGGGTGGGGAATAGGTGAAAGAGATGAAGGGGATTAAGAGTACACTTAATTGTGGGGCACTTGGGTGGCTCAGTCAGTTAAGCGTCTGCCTTGGGCTCAGGTCACAATCCCAGGGTCCAGGGATCCAGCAGGGAGCCTACTTCTCCCTCTCCCACTGCCTGCTGCTCCCCTTGCTTGTGCTCTCTCTCTCTCATTCTTTCTCTCTCTGTCACATAAATAAAATCTTTTTTTTTTTAAGATTTTATTTATTTATGTGACAGAGAGAGACACAGTGAGAGAGGGAACACAAGCAAGGGGGAGTGGGAGAGGGAGAAGCTGGCTTCCCGCGGAGCAGGGAGCCCAATGTGGGGCTCGATCCCAGGACCGAGATCAGGACCTGAGCGGAAGGCAGACGCTTAACGACTGAGCCACCCAGGTGCCCCTAAATAAATAAAATCTTAAAAAAAAAACCCAACAACCTAGTATCTTAAAAAAAAAAAAGAGTACACTTAATTTTGATGAACTGAGTAATGTACAGAATTGCTGAATCACTATATTGTATACCTGAAATTAATACAACAATCTATGTTAATTACAATGGAATTTTTTTTTAAAGAGGGGCACCTAGCTGGCTCAGACACTGGAGCATGTGACTCTTAATCTTGGGGTCATGAGTTCAAGCCCCACATTGGGCTTAGAGTTTATATTTTAAAAAAAAGAAAGAAATTGGGTAGGAAAAACACTCCTCCTGAGCTACTCCTTTACTCTTACACTACTATGACACTTCATTTCACTTCTGGTCACCAAATGTTTGGGAGTTTTCACTCCACCAAGCAATTCTCTAACACTAGTTGGGTATTCTACAATTTAACTCAATTCTGATGCTATCTACCTGTAGGTAGCATCAGACCCCATAGTTTAAGGGCTCAGTCCCACAAGACTATCCTCCACCACACTTTCAGATGCCATTCATAAGTCCCAGGATATTGCCTGTACTTTTGACTGAACGGCCATAAATCGGGGTTCCCATGATCCCCTCCTTGGGTTTGAGCATTTGCTAGAACAGATCACAGAACTCAGGGAAACAATTATGTTTACCAATTTATTATAAAATAAAGGATACTAATGAATAGCTAGATGAGGAGTAACATAGGGCGAAGTCTAGAAGGGTCCTGAGAAAAAGAGTTTGTATCCCCATGTTGCTGGGGTGCACCACCCTCCCAGTACATGGATGTGTTCGCCAACCTAGATGCTCTCCAAACCCTGTACTTT